CTGCCTCAGCCTCCCAAGTAGCTGGATTACAGGCATGAGCCATCACACCTGGCTAAATTTTGTATTTTGGTAGAGATGAGGTTTCACAATGTTGGCCAGGCTGGTCTTGAACTCCTGACCTCAAGTGATCCACCTGCCTTGGCATCCCAAAGTGCAGGGATTACAGATGTGAGCCACTGCAGCTGCCATACACTTATTAATCTTGGAGTATTGTATCACAAAATTGGTGCAGAAAACCTTGAAGGGAAGATTCATTTTGTGATTTCAAGCCTCACTGCCTGTGATCTCAGCTACTCGGGAGGCTGAGGAGGGAGGACTGCTTGAGCCTGGGAGGTTGAAGCTGTAGTGAGCCAGGATCATACCACTGCACTCCGGCCTGGGTGATGGAGTGAAACTCTGTCCCAAAAAGTAGTAAAGGCAAGTAGTGCCTGGCCCCTCCCTTGAGGCCGAGGTTACACAAAGGCCTTCATGATCAGCACTTCTTGCATGCTCCTCACCTTATGCTCCCTTTCATTCTGTTTACTGACTGGATTTTCTCAAAGCATGAGGTCCTTTTTTTTTTTTTTTTTTGAGATGGAGTTTTGTTCTTGTTGCCCAGGCTGGAGTCCAATGATGCTATCTTAGCTGACTGCAGCCTCTACCTCCCAGGTTCAAGCAATTGTCCTGCCTCAGCCTCCGGAGTAGCTGGAATTATAGGCACCCACCATGACTCCTAGCTAATTTTTTCTATTTTTAGTAGAGATGGGTTTTCACCATGTTGGCTAGGCTAGTCTCCAATTCCTGGCCTCAGGTGATCCACCCGTCTTGGCTTCCCAAAGTGCTAGGATTACAGGCGTGAGCCACTGCACGCGACCATTAGGTCCTTATTTATTTTTTGGAGACCGAGTCTCATTGTCGCCCAGGGTGGAGTGCAATGGTGTGATCTCAGCTCACTGCAACCTCTGCTTCCCGGGTTCAAGCAATTCTCCTGCCTCAGCCTCCTGAGTAGCTGGAACTGTCTATGGCCATACCACCCTGAATGTGCCTGATCCCATCTGAATACCTGGGACTACAGGCACATGCCACCACACCCAGCTAATTTTTGTATTTTAGTAGAGATGGGGTTTCACCATGTTGCCCAGGCTGGTCTTGAACTCTTGAGCTCAGGCAGTCCACCCACCTCAGCCTCCCAAAGTGCTAGGATTATAGGTGTGAGCCATTGTACCAGGCCGGGTCCTTATTGTTAAAGAAATTACCTTAGAGCTAGGGGTCTTTTCTGCAGTGACTTATTCTCACATGGACTTACGGATCATTACGATGTCCAGCAGAAGAACACTAGAGTACACACAAGCCATCCTGGCCTCAGTCAGATTCCCTGCTGTCTCCTGATGCCTGTATTACCACTTTGATGATTTTGTTTTGGGAACAGGGTCTCACTTCAGCCTCAAACTCCAAGCCTCTGGTGATCCTCCCACCTCAGCCTCCCAATTAGCTAGGGTGACAGGTCCATGCCACCGTGTCCAGCTAAGATTTAAAATTGTTTTTGTAGATATGGGGGTCTCACTATGTTGCCCAGGCTTGTCTTGAGCTTCCAGGCTCAAGTGATCCTCCTGCCTCTTAGTTAGCCAGGCATGGTGGCTCATGCCTAGTTTTTTGTTTTGTTTTGTTTTGTTTTGTTTCCGGTAGAGATGGAGTTTTACTATGTTGCCTCAAACGATTCTTTTGGCTCAGCCTCCATTAATGCTGAGATTACAGGCATGAGCCACCACACCTGAACACAAGAGAAAGCCTGTTTTATAACCACAGGGAAAAGACTGAAGATCCTACAGGAAGACTTAGCAACCAAGATTTTAGTGGGAACAGCAGAGCAGAATAAAAGGACAAATGAAAATAGACGGTCGGGCATGTGGATCATGCCTGTAGTCCCACCTCAGGAGGCTGAGGCAGGAGGATCCCTTGAGCCCAGGAGTTCGAGAACACCCTGGACAACATAGGGAGACCCCATCTCTACAAAAATAAATAAAAAATTGGCTCAGTGTGAAGGCGTGTGCCTGTAGTACCATCAACTCAGGAGGCCGAAGTAAGAGGATTGCTTGAGCCCAGGAGTTGGAGGCTGCAGTGACCTATGATCACTCCATTGCACTCCAGTCTGGATGACAGAGCAAGTCCTTGTCTCAAAGGGGGCCAGGTGCAGTGGTTCAAGTCTGTAATCCCAGCACCTTAGGAGGCAAAGGCGGGAGGATCACCTGAGGTCAGCAGTTCAAGACTAGCCTAGCCAACACAGACAAACCCCATCTCTACTAAAAAAATATATATATACATATATATACAAAAATTAGCTGGATATGGTGGCACACACTTGTAATCCCAGCTAAGCAGGAGGCTGAAGCAGGAGAATCATTTGAACCCAGGAGGCAGAGGTTGCAGTGAGTCGAGATCACACCACTGCACTGCAGCCTGGGTGACAGAGCCAGACTCTGTCTCAAAAAGAAAAAGAGAAAATAGACCATGCCTTTCTCTAAAATCCAGGAACAGGAAAGGAAGTGTGCAGTGATGTGTGCAAGTGGCAGGATCACTGAGCATCTCAAGGTTTAGGGCCGAATGTCCTAAACAAAGATCTCAGCTTCTTGCAAAGATCTGAGGCTTTTTTTTTTTTTTTTTTTTTGAGACAGAATCTCACTCTATCGCCCAGGCTGGAGTGCAATCTCGGCTTATAATCTCTGCCTCCCAGGTGCAAGCAATTCTCTCCTGCCTCAGCCTCCCGAGTAGCATGCTACCACGCCTGGCTAATTTTTGTATTTTTAGTAGAGATGGAGTTTCACCATGTTGGACAGGATGGTCTCGATCTCCTGACCTCAGGTGATCCATCTACCTTGGCCTCCCAAAGTGCTGAGATTACAGGTATGAGCCATTAGCTGGACCAAGATCCCAGGCTTTTAAGAACAGTTGCCTGAAGCAAGAGAACATCCAGCCAGGTGTGGTGGCTCACACTTAAAATGCCAGCACTTTGGGAGGCTAAGGTGGGTGGATCACCCGGGGTGAGGAGTTTGAAACCAGCCTGACCAATATGGTGTAAACCCTGCCTCTACTAAAAACACAAAATTAGCTGGGTGTGGTGGCGGGCACCTGTAATCCCAGCTACTCGGGAGGCTAAGGCAGGTGAACTGCTTGAACCCGGGAGACGGAGGGTGCAGTGAGCTCAAATTGCACCACTGTACCCCAAACTGGGTGACAGAATAAGACTTGTTCTCAAAACGAGAGAACATCCATGGTTCTGCTTTGTAGACTTCCGGGAGCCTCATCCCCCGGCCCCTGCAGGCCGCCTGCTCACCTGGGAAGTGCCACGTGCTCATCTCCTCCTCCTTCTCCATCCATAGCTCTTTCCCCTGCTCCAACCTGAAGATCACAGCTGGTTTGCCAACTTGACACCCTGTTTGGGAGAAACAGTTATCGGATTTGTGCTGAGCCAGCTGGGCCTTCCCAGCAAGTGGACTGTTAGTTCAGCCTGCAGAACAAAAGGTGGACATCTCAGCCACGGAAAACCTGGTTCACTTGGAAGGTAACTCCACAAAGACTCCAAGTGAGATCCAGACTCTGACTGCTGAAACCCAAGGCCAAGCCCTTTTATTTTTGACACAGGGTCTTGTTCTTTTGACCAGCTTGGAGTGCAATGGCACAATCGCAGCTCGCCACAGCCTCAACCTCCTGCACTTAAGCAATCCTCCTGCCTCAGCCTCCCGAGTAGTTGGGACTACAGGCATGCATCACCATGCTTAATTTTTTAATTTTTTGGTAGACACGGGATCTTGCTATGTTGCCCAGGCTAGTCTTGAACTTGGGCCTCAAGCGATCCTTCCATTTCAGACTCCCAAGTAGCTGGGACTGCAGGCACATGCCACCATGCCTGGCTAATTTTTTATTTTTAATTTGTATAGATTGAGTCTTGCTATGTTGCCCAGTCTGGTCTTGAACCTGTGGCCTCAAGCAATCCTCCCACCTCAGCCTCCCAAAGTGCTGGGATCAAAACCATGAGCCACCACACCTAGCCTAGCACTTTTAGTGCATGAGAGGCTTCCCAGTTTTATACAACTAAGAAAGGAAAGAGGTCACGTAACCCGAGGAACACTGGGAACCCTTCCTCACCCACAGAGAGCAAGTGGCTGCAGTCCTCCAGCATCATGTCCCGGTACAGGGTCCTCTGCTCCAGGTCCAGCTGCTGCCACTCTTTCCAGGTGAAGCCCACAGCCACGTCCCCGAAGGACAGTGATCCCTAGAACAGCACACGGCTGATTAATGTGGAGTGGTTGGCAATGGGTACCATGGCAAAAGCATAGAGGAAACAGATCTTACCACCTTCCAAAGTCACTTTCCCCATGTTAAGTAATATCGGAAGCTTAGCACACCCCTAACTTTGTACTACATTTTGTGGGAGAGAAAAAAAGATTAGAAAAAAAAAATCTCGGCCGGGTGTGGTGGCTCATGCCTGTAATCCCACCACTTTGGGATGCTGAGGTGGGTGGACCGCTTGAGGTCAGGAGTTCGAGACCAGACTGGCCAACATGGTAAAACCCCATCTCTACTAAAAATACAAAAATTAGCTGGGCATGGTGGCAGGTGCCTGTAATCCCAGCTATACAGGAGGCTGAGGCAGGAAAATTGCCTGAACCTGGGAGACGGAGGTTGCAGTGAACTGAGATCCTGCCATTGCACTCCATCCTGAACAACAGAGCGAGATTCCATCTCAAAAAAAAAAAAAAATCTCATTACTGGATCTCCATTCATTCCTTCAGTGACCAAGCATCTTCCAAGGACCTGGCATACTGCTGATGTTTACTAGATGCTTGGGGTCAAGGGCTGAACACAGAATTGTTCCTGTTCTAAAGGTGCTTAAAGGTGCTGCTGCCAGATGGACACATGAACACAGCCGTACGGTCCAATTACACTGAAGGTGGTGGTAGACATGCAGTTACGTACAGAATGGGCATGAGGAAGACGGCAGCCAGATCCAATGTACTCATGTCACGTGAAGTTTCCTAGGAGGTCACGCGTGAGCAGAATAAAAGATAAACAGTGATCTGATGTCTGAAGGATATTCCTAGCAAGACACCTGGCATGAGCGAAGGAGGCACAGAAAAGTCTGGTAGGAACTAGGAAGAGAATGAAATGCAGGGTATAAGGGGTGTGTGGGAGAGGGAGAGAGCCCACGAGCAGCTCGCAGAAGTGACTGTTTTCCCTATAGGAAATGGGGACTCCCACATCATGGTAATTAAGGGAGGGAACTACAGATGATCTGATGTGGAAAAAGGGTGAGAGCCACAGGAAGGGAGGATAACAAGATCAGTTAGCACACAATTCGAATCCTCAATGTAAGATAGAGTGTTCAACAAGGCAGCAGCAAGGGAAATGTAGAGAAGGGATTCCACAGATGCAGGACCGGGCTGGGCCTCCCTCACCCCTCCCATCCCCTCGCTCCATGAATTAGAGACCCCCATTTAAATCTTTTCAACTTATACCTATTAAAAGAAAATATAAGAGGGTATATCTAGATATGTGTATATGTGTGCATGAAAGTAAGTATATATGTATATATATGTATATACAAATATGTGTATACATGTGTTTGTATATATCTAGACAGATGAGAGCGAGAGAGAGAGAGCTCCTCTTTTTTTGAGACAGGGTCTCACTCTGTCCAGGCTAGAGTGCAGTGGTGTGATTATGGCTCACTGCAGCCTCTACCTCCTGGGTTTAAACCATCCTCTCGCCTCACGCCCCCCACTACCTAGTAGCTGGGACTACAGGCATGTGCCACCATGCTAGGCTAATTTTATTTAAATTTTTTGTAGACATGGGGTCTCACTATGTTTTGTTTAATGAAAGTTTAAATAATAGCAATGAGGCTGGGCAGAGTGGCTCACGTCTGTAATCCCAGGACTTTGGGAGGCTGAGGCAGGAGAATCACTGAGGTCAGGAGTTCGAGACCAGCCTGACCAACACAGTGAAACCTCATCTCTACTAAAAATACAAAACAAATCAGCCAGGCATGGTGGCAGGCACCTGTAATCCCAGCTGCTTAGGAGGCTGAGGCACGAGAATCATTTGAACCCAGGAGGCCAAGGTTGCAGTGAGCTGAGATCGTGCCATTGCACTCCAGTCTGGGTGACAGAGAAAGACTGTCTTAAAAAGGTATTTGAGGGTTGGGGGGCTTTCATCACTGCAGCAGAGGTTGAGGGAGGATGCTAGTAGTGCTGGGGTGGGCCCCGCTGACACATGCTGCTTCAGCAGGGTGGTGAGGGATGTTTATAGCCAAATGGGTGATCCAAAGTATCTCCAACAGTGGGACAAGCACATGCAGAGGAGAGACAGGAAGCAGGGCATGGCCTGCGGCAGCAGCCAAAACCGGGAGCTATGTGGGAGTGGGGAGAGGCAATCCGCAAAGAAACCCAGAGCCCCAGTCACCCTAAGGAGCCTGCGGTCTCTTTCAGGCAACACTCTCATCTCTAGAAGACTCATGACCAAGGGCTAAAGGCTGCTGAAACCAGTGACTTTTTTTTTGAGATGGGATCTCACTGTGTGGCCCAGGCTGGAGTGCAGCGGTGCGATCGCAGCTCACGGCAGCTTTGACCTCCCTGGTTCAAGTGATCCTCTCGCCTCAGCCTCCAGCACAGCTGGAACCACAGGTGCAAGCCACCTCACCCAGCTAAGTCTTTGACTTTTCGTAGAGGCAGGGCCTCCCTATGTTGCCCAGGCTGGTCTCAAAGTCCTGGGCTCAGGTGATCCTCCCACCTCAGCTTCCCAAAGTGCTGGGATTACAGGCGTGAGCCACCCCACCTGGCCTAAGCCACTGATTTCTTAATATTGACCTCTCACTCACCAAACCGCTACTGTCCAACAGAGATACAGAATGCCAGCCCTGTGGGGGACTTTCATTTTTCAGTCACGTTTTCCTAAAAAGAGAAACAGGTGAAATTACTATCTCTTCTTTAGCCCAATATATCCAAGATACTGTCATTTTGACATCTAATAATTTTTAAATCACTAATTTTTTCATTCTTTTTCACACCATATCAGATATGTATTTTATACTCACAGCACATCTCAATCAAGATACTGTATTTTAGGCTGGGTACAGTGGCTTATGCCTCTAATCCCAGCACTTTGGGAGGCCGAGGTGGGCGAGTCATGAGGTCAGGAGATCGAGACCACCCTGGCTAACACCGTGAATCCCTGTCTCTACTAAAAACATAAAAAAATTAGCCGGGTGTGATGGTAGGTGCCTGTAGTCCTAGTTACTCAGGAGGCTGAGGCAGGAGAATCGCTTGAACCAGAGAGGCAGAGGTTGCAGTGAGCCAAGATCACGCCACTGGTATTACACCACTGCACTCCAGCCTGGGCAACAAAGTGAGAATCCATCTCAAAAAAAACAACAAAAAACTATTTTAAATGGTTGCAATAAAATATAGTCTTATCCAAATTATAAAATTGTGTTTAACAATATTTTCCTCTGGTTCAGTTTTAAAATTTAAATGTAAATTTAAAATTCAGGTCTGCAGCCACACATGGCTAATGGCTATCTTCTTTGACAGTGTGGTGTAGACTGCACAGGTGCCAGTGTATTCCTGCGCTGGGCACAGGGATTGGTAGACACAACTATAGTTCCATAGTCTGACTGCATTCATATTCCAACTCCACCACTTAATAACAGATGTGAGACCTCAGACAGCTTAATATCTCTAGCCTCAGTTTGTTCATCTGTAAGATGGGGAGAGGTGGATTATGTCATTATTCCTACATAATTTACATACATATATTTTTTTCCAGTATTCAAAACAATATATACATATAATTTCTAGTTGATACATATGTCTATGTAGTTTGTTTTTATTTTTTTGAGATGGAATCTTGCTCTGTGGCCCAGGCTAGAGTGCAGTGGTGCAATACCAGCTCACTGCGACATCTGCCTCCTGGGTTCAAGCGATTCTCCTGCCTCAGCCTCCTGAGTAGCTGGGATTACAGGCACATGCCCAACTAATTTATTATTATTTAGTATTTTTAAATAGAGACGGGGTTTCTCCATGAGGCCAGGCTGGTCTCAAACTCCTGACCTCAGGTGGTCCACCCACCTCAGCCTCTCAAAGTGCTGGGATTACAGGCATGAGCTAAGCTACCCTGCCTAGTATCTACATAGTTTAAATATATATAAATATATATATATATATCACACACACACATACACATATACATATACATGTCTATGTAGTTTATATACATGTTTATACACAATGTCTATGTAGTTAATATATGTGTCTATGTAATTTCTATGTAATTCATATATAATTTCCATGTAAATATATCATTTCTATAGATATACCTCTCATGGGTTTATTTATGAAATAATATATAAAAAGTGCAAAGACCAGCACAAAAGTGCTGGACAGGCAGCATTTAAAACCATTATTATCATCTTCAGTACACAGACTGCCCTAATAGGCAGGCATGCCCAGTAGACTTGGCTTCCTAAAACACAGTGGCCCCCAGCTTACAGCTTCATGGACAGGATAGGTGTGGCTCGCCACCTTTTTCCAGCCTCTCCTGCTGAGATATTTCTTGTGTGAACACCCAGACATCCTTGGCTTCACAAAGCACTGACAAACCCAGGCCCTGTGAACGTTTTCCTTCCTGGAGTTGGAGCGGTAATGTTTGTTCATGAGGCCTCATCTTCCTCTAGGACCAACCCCCTCCTGCCCCTCTGCCCTGTGCACGGCTGCCTGGAGAGGGCCTAATATACCTGAGCTAGGCTGGACCAACGGTATCTTCCCTGAAGAGCTTTCACATTGGACCAAGGAAAAGAGATTCAGCCCCTGACCACGGCAGAACTTGCAGATGTGAGAAGAGGAGCTGTGGCCATGCTACTTCTGGCCACATGGACAGAGTCCGCGTGAGAAGAAAGTCACAGAAGCAGGGAACAAGATACCTGACGATACCTGGGTTGCTGGATGCCTCTGGTGCCTGACTGCAAACCTGCTCTTCTCATGGCTTGGGTGCTGCCTTGTAGATTTTTTTTTTCAATAGGTTCTCCCTCTGTCACCCAGGCTGCAGTGCAATGGCACAATCACAGCTCATTGCAGCCTTGACCTCCTAGGCTCAAGTGATCCACCCACCTTAGCCTCTCGAATAACTGGGACTACAGGCATGTGCCAACACGCCTGGCTAAGTTTTGTATTTTTTGTAGGGCCAGGGTCTTGCCACATTACCCAGGGTGGTCTTGAACTCCTGGCCTCAAGCAATCCTCCTGCCTCAGCCTCCCAAAGTTCTAGAATTACTACTTTTAAAAAAAATCCTAACCTACTTCTAGTTGGATTTCTGGCTCTTACAACTACAAGGATTATAACTTCTGATCAGTGCACTCCACATTCACACATCCCTAGAACATACAGTGAAGAGGAGCAGAAGGAGAATGCCTCCAGGCTGATGGAAAACACTGATGTCACTCACGGGCAAAGAAAGCTAACAGCCAAGTAACAAAAAATACAAAGGAAGGCCAGGAGCATTGGCTCATGTCTGTCATCACAGCACTCTGAGTGGGCGGATCACCTGAGGTCAGGAGTTCGAGACCAGCCTGGCTAATACGGTGAAACTCCATCTCTACTAAAAATACAGAACTTAGCCAGGCATGGTGGTGCATGCCTGGAATCGAAGCTACTCAGGAGGCTGAGGCCGGGGAATCACTTAAACCCGGGAGGCAGAGGTTGCAGCGAACCAAGATTGTGCCACTGCACTCAAGCCTGGGCGACAGAGCAGGACTCCATCTCAAAAAACTTTTTTAATTAAAAAAATAACCAGCCAGGCACGGTGGCTCATGCCTGTAATCCCAGCACTTTGGGAGGCCAAGGTGGGTGGATCACAAGGTCCGGAGTTCAAGACCAGCCTGGCCAATATGGTAAAACTCCATCTCTACTAAAAATACAAAAATTAGCTAGGCGTGGTGGCATACACCTATAGTCTCAGCTGCTCGGGAGGCTAAGGCAGGAGAATCGCTTGAACTGGGGAAGTAGAGGTTGCAGTGAGCCAGGATTATGCCACTGCACTCCTGCCTGGGTAAAAGAGCAAGACTGTGTCTCAAAAAAAAAATACAAAATTATCTGGGCATGGTGGCACACACTTTTAATCCCAGCTACTCAGGAGGCTGAGGCAGAAGAATTGCTTGAACCCGGCAGGTGAGGTTGCAGTGAGCCGAGATCGCGCCACTGCACTCCAGCCTGGCGACAGAGTGAGACTCCTTCTTAAGTAAGTAAATAAGCCATCATGACAAGCAATTTCAGACAAGATCAGGTATGTTCAGGGTGGTATGACGGTAGACATGGCAAGCCATTTCAGGAACACATAGTTCATTCATTCCTCTAGATCATGCCATGTTACATCTAGGTCACGTGGAGCCACATAAGGCTGTCCCTGTAGACCTGAGTGTTCATCACTAAACAACCACAGTCACAGACGTCTGCTTTGGCATAATACCTGCTGTTTCTACACGGGGGAAGAAAAGTCACAAGAGATGGGTGTTGTGTTTCTTTCAAGGTGGCTGTGATTGAGGAAGGGGCCTGTCACATCGCGAATACAAAGATCAAATATATTTCTAAATGCCCAAAAGTGCTTTATTTCCCCTGAGAAGTAGACACGGTTGTCCAAAACAGACAACACAAGTCATATACTAGATGGAGTCCATCTGCCCTTTTGAAGTGACAGGAATGTCAGACATAAATTTACAAGGCATCTGGCCAGGCGTGGTGGCACACACCTGTAATCCCACCACTTTGGGAGGCCAAGGTGGGCAGATCACTTGAGGTCAGGAGTTCAAGACCAGCCTGGCCAACATAGTGAAACCCCCATCTCTACTGAAAATAAAATTAGTTGGGTGTGGTGGCACATGCTTGTAAAGAGGCTGAGGCAGGAAAATTACATGAACCCAGGAGGCAGAGGTTGCAGTGAGCCGAGATTATGCCACTGCACTCCAGCCTGGGTGCTGGAGCAAGATTCCATCTCCAAAAAAATTATATATATACATACACACACACACACACACACACACACACACACACACACACACACACACACACACACATATATATATATATATATATATATATATATATAAGGTATCTCATAACTGTGGGAGCCTCTACAGTATCTCCACCCTGCCCTTCCCACAGCCTTGATCTTCTGTTCTTTTCCTGTTTTCACTGATCCTGACTTCTGTTTGCATTTTGTTTTATCGGATACATGTTTTTTTTTTGAGACAGAGTCTTACTCTGTCACCCAGACTGGAGTACAGTGGTGCAATCTTGCTCACTGCAGCCTCTGCCTCCCAGGTTCAAGCAATTCTCCTGTCTCAGCCTCCCAAGTAGCTGGGGCTACAAGTACCCATCTCCACAACTGGCTAATTTTGTATTTTTAGTAGAGACAGGGTTTCACTATGTTGACCAGGCTAGTGGTAAAACCCTGACCTGAGGTGATCCACGCACTTTGGCCTCCCACAGTGCTGGGATTACAAGCGTGAGCCATGGTGCCCAGCTTTCATCAGACACGTTCTTATGAGCTTCCAAAATCCCTGCTGAAAACAAAGTGTGATTGAAACGCCTCGCTCACCTGGGACATGGTTCTTCTCTGCTGTTCTCAGAAAGCAGACACCTGTGAAGGCAGACGGGGTGGGAAGAGAGGATGTGAGAGGCCACGCTTGCCCGGGGGCTCCCAATCAACTGCTGGGACCGCCTCCCCCCCCCCACCACCACCGCTCTCCCCACCCCGGGGCACAGGTGGGAGAAAGCCTTCTCTGAAGGATCCTCATTACCAGAGCAAAGCCCTCACCTTGGAAATGTGATAGGGACTCAAGCTTATGAGGCCTGACTTGGACTTTTGTTTTGTTTTTGAGACCGGGTTTCACTGTCACCCAGGCTGGAATGCAGTGGTGCAATCACGGCTCACTGCAGCCTTGGACTCCCAGGCTCAAGCTATCCTCCCATCTCAGCCTCCCGAGAAGCTGGGACTATGTCACATGCCCAGTTAATTTTTAAATTTTTCGGTAGAGATGGGGTCTCACTGTATTGCCCAGGCTGGTCTCAAATCCCTAGGTTCAATCAATCTGCCTGCTGCAGCCTCCCAAAACATTGGGATTACACGGTGAACCACCATGCCCAACTGGATTTTTTTCTTAATGAATATGTGTATCTGTGTCTCAGAAGTCAATGTGAAATTTACTCCAGCCCCTACCCATTACCCCGGAAATGTAATTAATAGAAATTTATTCTGAAGAAACAGGCCGGGCACAGTGGCTCACACCTGTAATCCCGGAACTTTGGGAGGCCGAAGCAGGTGGATCACCTGAGGTCAGGAGTTCAAAACCAGCTTGGCCAATATGGTGAAACCCCATCTCTCCTTAAAATAAAAAAATTAGCTGGGTGTCGTGGTGTATGCCTGTAATCCCAGCTACTCAAGAGGCTGAGGCAGCAGACTTGGGGAGCAGAGGCTGCAGTGAGCCAAGATTGCACCACTGCAGTTCAGCCTCAGTGACAGAGCAACACTCCATCTCAAAAAATAAAACAAAATAAAATAAAATATAG